TTATATAACTCAACTCTTCCCTTTTGTATACAGCCATATCAGTATTGTCCTTAGTACAACATCTCTTACATTTATAACCTTTTGGAAATACACAGACTTTCGTATTTGGTTAGCCATGTAGATGAATAGTTAGAGAAAACTATAAAGCCTCTTGTAAACACTGAGGGTAGCTTGTTAAAAGCAGAAAAAGACTTTACTCTAAATGGATTTTCTTCAAAATTTAGTACACATTTAATTTTGTTTTCATTTTCTGTTTTCACCTTTTAATTACAAAACTACCACCTTGTTTTGAATTTGTTGTCTATTTTCAAAGATTTGTAGAAGCTAACAAGACAAATAGTTTTTTCAATGTTTCCTGTGTAGAAATAGGTAATAATTTGAAAACAAGGTGACAATTTTGTACTGAAAAAGGTCAAACTGAAGAAGAAAACATGAAATAAATACCCAAGTGAACGGACCCTTATTTTCTTAATCGCTCACTTCTTCTCTTAAACCGGACAGAAAATACCCCATGATCTGCTCCTCAGGTATCTGGGTCGTTTGCCCCACCAGAACTTCAAAATCACGTATGTATTCCCCCACCGATCCCGTCTGTCGTATGGTGGAGAGTCTCTCATACACCGTTCCTCTAGTTCCTCCCCCAAATCGGATACCCAGCGCCCTCTTCAACCCCTCCCAAGACAGGGTCTTGGTTTTCTCTCGCCAGAATCGGAACCAGCTTCCGGCGTAGCCATCCATGCTAATAAAGGCCAATTCCAACTTCTCCTCCTCCGCCATCTTCTGGACTTCGAAAAACTTCTCCGCTCGGCCGATCCATACCCACGGTTCGCCCCCCTCAAACACGGGTAATTCGACTCGCTTCCTCCACTGGCTCATCCCTCCTTGGTTACCTTCTCCCCCATTTCCTCTTTTTCCATTCAGACCACCCCCATTATCGTTCACCGACGACTGACTCTCCCCCTGTCGCTGTCCTTGGTTAATGGGTATGCGTTCTCCCATCGCTTTCAAGATCGCTTGGTCATCCTGGCGTATCGCCGTCGTATCAGCCTTTGTCTCAGCTATTGCCACTTCCACCGCCTCTAAGTGCCCTTCGACCACCACCATTCTTCCCTCCATCTCCACGCGCGAACACTCCCCGATATGGATTCGGCAGGTCGGACCAAATGTTGGGTTCCTAAATTGGGAACACACTTTCAAGACTCCCTTCCTACCTAGAAAACACAGAAAGAAAGAAAGAGAAGTCTGAATGTTATTCACAAGTATAATATCTGTACAATCAACTGCAGAGGCATAACCCTCTTCCACAGGTATAAACCCGTAAGCAACTAAGCAATCAAAAGTCCCCCAATCCCTTCTACTCAGCCGCTATTTATACAATCTTACAATCTCACCAAAACTGTCCTAACTGTCCTAACTGTTAGTTTGTTATATTCATTTCCTCCTATTCCTCCTCTCATAAACTACCCATCCTTTCTTATTCTTATCCCTATCACTACCCCATTACCAAATTTATTTATACTTTTGGCGCTTTTTTTTCCTCAATTATATAACTCAACTCTTCCCTTTTGTATACAGCCATATCAGTATTGTCCTTAGTACAACATCTCTTACATTTATAACCTTTTGGAAATACACAGACTGTCGTATTTGGTTAGCCATGTAGATGAATAGTTAGAGAAAACTATAAAGCCTCTTGTAAACACTGAGGGTAGCTTGTTAAAAGCAGAAAAAGACTTTACTCTAAATGGATTTTCTTCAAAATTTAGTACACATTTAATTTTGTTTTCATTTTCTGTTTTCACCTTTTAATTACAAACCTACCACCTTGTTTTGAATTTGTTGTCTATTTTCAAAGATTTGTAGAAGCTAACAAGACAAATAGTTTTTTCAATGTTTCCTGTGTATAAATAGGTAATAATTTGAAAACAAGGTGACAATTTTGTACTGAAAAAGTCAAACTGAAGAAGAAAACATGAAATAAACACCCAAGTGAACGGACCCTTATTTTCTTGATATAGCTCAATGACATTGTTTTATCCTTCTAGTCAATCCCATCTAATGGGACAATAATTGGTTGTTGTTATAGTTTATAACTTGAAATATATTTTTCTTTTTGCTGTAATCTGAATTTTTCAAAAGGGACAATTTTCTTAGCAAGTAGCCAAATAACTTGGACATTATTTGATTTCCTTCCCTCTATTGACATATTAATTTAATAGCACTATCACTTGGAAAACGTACTGCTTGTCTTTTTCGATGATTATTTATGTTGGTGCTTTTGGAATGTGATTATGTTAATTGCTTCATTTACTTATGGTGGCTATATTTCTTCTATACAGAGATGTGTGGGCCTTCCTTTTAACTTGCAAGGTGAACTATTGCAGCCTTTATGATCAAGGGTAATACTCAATAAATATGATGAACCTTATTGTTGGATTTTATTATGTCTACTTGCCATATTTTTCTTTTTGGTTCAATATTTCCCTCCAAAATAGGGGGCAATGGGAAAATAATTTGATGAATATCTGATAATTTTTTTTTTCATCATTTTTTAACAATTTAAAAGGCTTTGCCAAACCTGACAGAGACATTCTATTGCTGAATTTAAATAATTGGTCCGTCATGGTTGACGTTAAGTTGTAGTTGTTTGTGTATTCAGCGAATTTAGGTGTGCAATTTTTTCTTTATTATTTGTGCAGTTATACTTCAATTGGTAGTATACACGACACAGTTCCCAACTCATTATTGTCCGTCAGCAATTCTTCCTACAAATTCAAACCTGCATATTTACTTGCTGATGGAAGATTAGAGAGAGCTGGGAGGGCTAAAAGGCCATCTTCTACTGGTGGACAACTTCCTGTGGATAGCAATGGTTTGACTGGCGTGGATTCACATAAAAATAGCATGCTCACAGCATCAATCATTGCTGTGGGGGATGAGATTTTGTAAGTACCTTGATATCATCACATGGATAATTGGATTTTGTGGAATATATTTGGAAATTCTATCTTGTATGAAGTTGTATGCCCTTCCTTATAATTTTCCATTGGGAGATTTCTTAATTCTATCAGACTATTTAGCCTGTTTTCAAGCTTTGGTGTATGGATTTGCAAGCGTTTAACCTACTGTTGATTCTCTTGATTGTGTGCAGGATGATTTGTTGTCATCTTTTTGAGCATTCTATATCCTGAAATAGAAGCTCTTCTACTAAACTTGGACAAACAGTATTCTCTTTTATGTGAATAAAGTAAACAACACCTCAAAAATTAATTTGACATTTTCAACGATCATTTGGGGAAAGAAAGGATTAAATAAATTTAATTTTTTAACATATATCATGTCATGCTGTGTAGTGAATTTTTTATGATCCTTTAACTGTATTGGTGATGTTCTCTTTCTTTACACTGTTCCATAGCTCAGGTTTGGCATTGTTGAAGATCAGTTGGGCCCTTATTTGTGTAGGAAGCTTCATTCGATTGGTTGGTCTGTGTTTAAACTTTCTGTTGTGCACAACAATGTGAGTTCATTTCTGTAGAAGTCCTACATATGTTTGTATGAATTTTTCTTTGCAGACATCATCAGTTAAAGGTGTTATAATGAGTCTGTTGATAATGACCCATATGCAAACTCTAAGTCAGGCATTCTTCACCTAATATTATAATTTCATGGTTTGTGACTTGTGTCTTCTGTACCAGATAGATTCTGTAGCTGAAGAAGTTGAGCGACAAAAATCTAAAAGTGATATGGTACTATATGCCATTTGGGAAGTTATATTCGTGAATTTCTTGATGATAAATGACGATGTAGCATATTTACCTGTCCTACTTATTGTAGGTATTTATATATGGAGGTGTAGGTCCACTGCATTCAGATGTTACCATAGCAGGCATTGCAAAAGCTTTTGGTGTTCGTTTGGTGCGTTACATCCTGCAATTGCTGTATTTTCAAATTTGAAGCTACTATAATCATTCCCTAAATATGCTGAGTCCATCAATATCTATTAGAGTTGTTGATACTTCTTATGCTAGAAGTAGTAGAAACTGCCTATCATATTTCTCTAAACAGGATCAGGTTATGGGTTCTGTTATATTGTAATTGTCATTGTATCAGAAAATGAGCAAATAACACAATCAGTTCAGATTGCATCTCAATTTCTTTGTTATCTCATCTTCAAATATTTATCATCCTCTAGGAATCTGTATATCATTGTCAATTGATGATTTGGTTTCATGTAGGCTCCTGATGAAGAATTTGAAGAGTATCTCAGGCATATAATTGGTGACCAGTGTACTGGCGACAGGAATGAGGTATGAGACTAATCCTCATTTACAAAACCGAGACAGTCACTCCCCACAAGTTCTTTTTTATTGGCTCAAATGCTACATTGTTAGGTCCCTCAACCACTGGTTAATTATTACTTACCAAAATAAGCTAATTATTTATCACAGGTTTAAGTTTTTAATTCTACTTTATGTTGGTATGGCTGAATTAAGCGCTTGTTTGATTTCAGTTGTCTGGTAAATGGGAGGGGAGGGTGCACGGTGTTATTTTAGTAGTTGTACTATAAATTAGGAATGTACCCAACGATTGCTTCTTTGGTAGGAACATTTGAACCATGACTTCATTAGTATGATTTGCATGCTCATGCGTATACAAAATGGCAAGACAATTAACTTTTTAAGGTCTAATTTTTAATGCCTCAGTCTAGAGCAAGTCTATGAGGGTTGTTCATAGTTTCAGGCATGTTTTTTAGAAAATCCTTTGTTGTGCTAATGCGTATACAAAATGGCAAGACCATTAACTTTTTAAGGTCTAATTTTTAATGCCTCAGTCTAGAGCAAGTCTATGAGGGCTTTTCATAGTTTTAGGCATGCTTTTTAGAAACTCCTTTGGTGTGCTTTGGTTTATTTGAGTGGGGTGGGAGGAAGCAATGAGAATACACTAAAAGGTTGTACATAAGATTAAAAAGGAGAAAATCTATTTTTGGAAGGCTTAAAAGACCCCTACTATGATCTTCTATTTATATTGATAGAAGTCTGATACAACGGGAAGATGAAAGATCAAAAGACTGTCCTAGACTCCTAAGTATAGAACTACGTACAATTTGTTGGAAGTTCTCTATTGACTAGAAATAAGGTCAATTTATAATATATATGTGGGTGCAAACCTCACCTTACAAACCGGTTTTGTGGGGTTGAATTAGGATTAAAGTTCACTTATGGTATCAGAGTTATGGTTTAGAGCCTATCCTAGTAAAATTTGTTGTTTATTTGGCATATTGTTTCACCCGTATCATACTGCTATTGGACCACTCATTAATATCTAGTCTCATGCATGAGATGTATATACCTCCACGTGAAGGAAGTGTGCTGAAAGTCTCACATCGACTAGAGATAAAACCACTTTATAATATATATGTGGGTGCAAACCTCACCTTACAAGCTGATTTTGTGGGGTTAAGTTAGACTTAAAGTCCACTTGTTAACACAACTCATAGATTGCACTAGACTCCTAGGTACAAACATAGGTGCAAGAAGAAATGGTTCCTAACACACTACTTCCTACCTGGCTTTTAATACTTATTCCAACAGATCTAAAGGTATAGCCATATATATTTTGATTGCTATATCTCCAACTGAGACATCAATCTGCTTTTCATATTGCGCATATTATACTGTCATGATGTTTTTAGTATGTAGTTCATTCATATTGATTTTTCCTTGCCTTTCACCTTTCAGATGGCTCAATTGCCTGAGGGCATAACTGAATTATGGCATCATGACAAATTGTCTGTGCCCTTGGTATGTTTTCAGAAGATCTTTAATGAAAATTGTTTCCTTGTGTCATTCACCAGAAGTTTACTTTCACATTAAGGAAGAACAAAAGGAAAAATTGTGTACTTCTTCGCTTTATTGTGACCAGCTCCTATATTGTCTATGATGAAAATGTTGAAGTAATACTGGTTTCGATTGTTAGAGATAATTAATGTTTTTTGCAGATCAAGTGCCAAAATGTAATAATTCTTAGTGCAACAAATGTTTCGGAGCTGGAAAAGCAGTGGGACTGTTGGATTGAATTAGCAAAATCTAGTGACCTACTAGCATTGCTGGAACCATATGTATCAAAGCACGCGGCAACCAATTTGTCAGATGTATGTACTCGTACTAACTTTCATATATAATGATGCATCCGCGTGATTTCCTTCCCTTGAGCTTTGAAGATTATTTGGAATTTTGTTTTTATTTTCCGTGTGTTGGACACAATTACTACCTTCGTTTATATTTCAGTTATAACATGTGTTCTGCAGTCTTTATCTATGCTGTAAGACTCTTCATTATGTATAACATCCGTTTTTTACTTTTTGTGCTGATTGGCCTATGTAAATGCAAGTACGTAAGATTCGATTTTGCTTTCTTGTAATAGAAAGATCAGAGGTGCAATTGATGTGTACTCAAATATCATTGATGAAATTCTTGAATACTGGTAGCATAAGACAATTTATTCTGATGAATATGCAGCATCTATGCTGCGTTTGTCTTCTTTCTCTGCTATTTTTCTTTTCACTGAGCTCGTCTGATTTTACGTTGGGACATCTACACTGCAGGTTGAAATTGCTCAACCTCTGTCAAAGCTTTGCCTTGAATTTCCTGATCTTTATATTGGTATGAAGTTTATAAGTTATTGTGACGTTTACCAGTTATGGCTTATTATCTATCTATATTTTTTATTTTCTTCTTTGTAACATCTAGGTTGTTACCGCAAAGCCAGATATGGATCTCTTATTGTTAGCTTCAAAGGAAAGGTAGAACGAAACTTCCCTATTCTAGTATCTGTTCTAAGAAAAAACATGTTTGCCTGTATATTTACCAGTTCTAATTTTATGACAGGACCTAGCACGCATTGATTCAGCTATAAAAGCATTGCACAAGAAGTTTCAACCTGGTGCATTCATTGAGATGAACTAAGATGATATTGTAAATGTTATGCTTCGTATCTTTTGGATGCCAACAGAATGAAAACCTTTCATGGGATTGAATCTTATCATTCTGATATTACTAAGATGCATTGGGATACAGATGGAGCGGGAAGAAAATCAAGGGTGCTGCTGTGTTGGTAGAAGAAAGAACAATGGTACAAGCAGGTGGCTGGAGATTCAATTCTATTGCCATTCACAGCACTTTTTACTTCTTCATGGGGGCATGGACAACCTATTTATTATTGTAGAATTGTTATTAAATTATCTCAACTTGCAGCAGCAGCTTTTACAAATATAAAGTTTTCTTCATTGAGAATCCAGCAATTAAACCTTTAAATTAGCAGCACGAATTGCATATTCAGCTTTGGCTGCTATATACCCGATTTTTATGCTGATTTAAACTATACTTTCTCTATAGTTAGCTAGAAGTAAACCATCTGGTGTATGAACCATTTTGCCATTTATTTTAACCATTCAACAGAGGCATAATTTTCCCAATGCAACAGCGTATATTTATTAGAAAAGTCACCATACACTTTTCCTTTTCCTTTTTTTGAACCCTTTTTTTAATATATACACCTCTCAGACCAATTCTAGTGTTGTTCAGCAGATAAAATTCTAAGGAGTCGATTTAGATCCTCTATTTATGGATGAACATGATATCATTATATTTGATAAACCCTGCCATGCCAATCGACATTTCCCAATCGATGTTAATATTAAATTGACGGAAATATCACATTAAATTTTTTAAATAAAATTGAAAGTAAATTAAGAAGAAAAAATTATGGATTCAAATTGAATAATTTTTTTATTTGGAAATTGTTAGTAAATAATTATAATAACTCTCACACCTTTTAGACCGACTTCACAGAGAGTGTCCTGATTTTTTATTTCTCTTTACAAATTACAAAACCTAAAACTGAGGAAGATTAGAATTTATTATGCAAACTATCCATCACTAATGATTAAAATTTATTTAGTTTATCATAAATATTCATATAAATTTTTATATAAGGCAATATTTTAGCAAAGATCTTCAGTATTCACCATACCATATGACTTAATTAACAGTGATATGACATTTTTATGTAAATATTTTTTAAATCAAACAAATTAGATTTCTACCTTCTCATTTGAAGGAGATGTTTGAGAAAACATTATCCAATAATTGAGAATATTATTTTTTAAAACTAAAAGAAAAATCCTTATTTCAAATTTCTAGAAATTGGTTACTTCCACTTTTTCGTACCTCCTAAATACCAAAATTAACATATTGTTAAATTTCTTGACCAATAACTTCACTCTCTAAAATATGAATCTGCGCGATGGTGAAATATATATTTCGTTGGATTGGGAAAAGAAACGACAATGGAGGGAAGCTCAAGCATGGTGAGCAACCAGCATGACAAGGCAAAGAAAGGGTTGGAAGGCAGTGCCTTAGATTTACCCATCAACCGTTATGCCAATTTGAAAAGCGCTACAAGCGATGACGACTTCACCAATGTTCTCGCACTCATCAAATCCTCCAAAACCCCCGTAAGCAAAACTACACCCCCAATGTTAAGGTCATAATCCCTTTTGTTTCCAACTTTTTAACTTCACTGCATAAATTTGATTCTTCTGTTCTGTTACAAAATTCATTGCAGGCTGTTATCAATTATGGCGCTTCTTGGTATGTTAATGCTTCTCCCTAATAATGTGTGGATTCTGATTGTTTTGAGCACCAGGTGTTTGATGTTGGAACTCTCAAAATCATTGGAAAATACAAATCTTGTGGTTAAAATTTTGTTTACATCATATTTGGAAGTTTGTTTTGTTTGGGTTTGGAATAATGAAATTGAACATAATACATAGCACAGGGCATGTGGTTATGACCCAGGTGGCATGCGTTACTTGATGCAAATGCTAAAAACTCTGCTTAAAAAACATGAAATGGAAAGCTTTATTTGATCGTGTAAAAATGCGTTTTCTAATGTGTTTTTAATGCACTTCCGATGAAACTTTGTCTTTGGGGAGCGGTTACAGTCCAGGTGGCCTTACTTTATAACAAATGTTAAGAATGCTGGCTGAGAAATTAAAAAAGAACAGTTTTTAATTTGAACGTGTAAGAATGCATGCTTCTATACTTTTTTATGCAATCCAATGAAAACTCTTTCATGGACAGTGATTTGGAAGATCAGTAGTTTCTTGTCTCAAGGTTGAAATCCAATGTGGTGTAATATAGTTGACACCTAAGCATACCCCCTTAACATGTTTTCATTTGTTCAATCTCCATGTTTGTGTATACAGAAAAGCGAATTTTGAGAGAAGTGAGTTCTTTAAATATTTTTTTTGTTTTTTGAGATATTAGTTTATGTCTTTTGATTGCAAATTATCCTATGCACCAAAAAGAATAATTTATAGTTTTTCACCCAAAGGAAATTACAGTGGCAATTGGAGTTATAAGTGTGAATTATAAGGCTATTAACAATGCATTTAACTCCTTAATCTTTCTTCGATATAAAGGAAGCCGTTAGTGACTATTGTTTCCTGGTTTTTCAGGTGCCGCGTCTGTAGCCAGATTCTCCCAGCATTCTGCAGACTCAGCAATAATTTTCCAAAGCTTACCTTTGTGTACGCAGACATTGATGAATGCCCGGAAACAACTCAACACATTCGCTACACGCCAACCTTCCAATTTTACCGGAATGGTGAAAAGGTAGATGAGATGTATGGCACTGGAGAAGAGAGGCTCCATGATCGCCTGTGGTTGCACTCTTAACTACTCCGCGTGAGAGAAACATCATGTTTGCAATTTCTCTATCTATGTAAGTAGCACTATCATCAATTTTGTGAATCGTAGAACAAAACCTAGTTATTCTGTGTCTCCATAAGAAATTTTCTTGGCTTTAATATCTATTATAGTTCTTGCAAAATTAACTAGTTTTAACTTTAGTCTCTAGAAAAAAAAAAACTATTTTTATCCCTCTTTAAGTTGAAATTTTGCTTCTATCTCAATTATCAGGAGATGCTTGTTATGTAATTGGCAAAAGTTCAATTGACTATTCCAAATAACATTTACGAGTGTTAATCGTATAACATCAATATGTGATTCCTTCAAAAGAGTTTCAGATTCTTAAAATAAATATTATTTATTACTTTAAAATGAAATTTAGAGATAAAAAAACGGTAATTTTGAACTTTAGAAGGATTAAAACCAAAGGAAATTACAATGACTAAAACTAAAATTTGTTCATTATATAGAAAGAATTGTTTTATAAGAACATATTAAAAACATATTTAAGGAAATCGTGGTTTCCACGAAGTAAACAATTAACTAACACCCTAGTTTACACCAAACACCCAAAAATGAAGAAAGATATCTCCCTCCCTTTTCTAGTCCAAAGTGTGAAACGTATCTTCAATTAGAGATGTACGCAACGAAGCTTCTTTATTTTCCTTTTATCCAAAATCTGAAAGATGGCTACGATGATAGCCACAAGTAGCAACGAATTCGATCGTGGGTGGCGAACTAACTTATGCATTTGGCTTGAGGATTTTCACGGTCTCCCAAGTGAAATCAGGATCATCCCGTCCAAAATGCCCATAAGCAGCAGTTTTCTGGTACCTGCAGTTGCCTCCTCTCATGAGATCAAGATTGATGGCAATCATTCCTGGCCTGAAGTCAAACTTCTCCTTGATCAGAGCCAAGATATCCTTGTCTGGAATCTTTCCCGTTTTGTATGTGTCCACAAACACTGAAAGGGGCTCTGGGACTCCAATTGCATAAGAAACCTGCACAATACAACGTCGAGCAAGTCCTGAAGCTACCACACTCTTGGCTGCTTGCCTGACAATGTATGCGCCACTCCTATCAACCTTGGTTGGGTCCTTGCCGGAGAAGGCACCGCCGCCATGAGCACCCCAACCGCCATAGGTGTCTATAATGATCTTCCTTCCAGTGAGTCCTGCATCTCCATGTGGTCCACCAATGACAAACCTACCAGAGGGGTTGAGGTGGAAGATAGTTTTGTCATCTATATATTTGGCTGAGATGACGGGTTTGATCACTTTCTCTTTCAAATCTTCAGCAATTTGCTCATTTGTGACAGTTTCATCATGCTGAGTTGAGATGAGGACTGTGTGGACCCTGATAGGCACCATGGCTCCATTATCGTTTTTGTACTCAACTGTCACTTGGGTTTTACCATCTGGCCTCAGCCAGGGACATGTTTTGTTCTTTCTCACTTCAGTGAGCTTGGCACCAAGTTTAGTAGCAAGCACATGAGTGAGTGGCATTAGCTCCGGTGTTTCGTCTGTGGCATAACCAAACATGTGGCCTTGGTCACCAGCACCAATTTCCTCTGGCTTTTTGGTCAAGTGACCATGAACTCCTTGAGCAATATCAGGACTCTGCTGCTCAATGTTGACCAGAACTTTGCAATTGTCAGCATCAAGACCAACATCCGCCGACACGAACCCAATGCCTCTGCAAGTATCTCGAACTATTTTCTCGTAGTTTACATTGGCCTTGGTTGTTATCTCACCAAACACCATAACCATGTTAGTTTTTGTACAGGTTTCACACGCCACCTTGCTGTCTGGGTCTTGCTCCAAGCATGCATCCAGGATGGCATCTGAAACCTGGTCACACAACTTGTCCGGATGCCCTTCGTTAACAGATTCTGAGGTGAAGAGGAAAGTTTCCATCTCTGGTGCAAAGAAAACAAAAGGGGTCAAATTGTGTTGTCGATAGAAACTACGGAAGCAATTAACTTGACAATATCTACATATTCAATTCCATGGACCTAAAATATTGATTTTATTACAAGAATCAAGAGCTTAAATCAAATGATAAATGTTTAATTTTTTCTGCACCTAATATAACGGACATATTTACTCTTATTATATATTTGATAGACGTGGACTATTAATGTAAAAATTTTATATTGTCAGCCAATTAAAAAAAAGTCTTAAATATAACTTTTCATTAATTATAAAAGTAAAAAATGTATGATATATGATTATTTTTATTTTCGAGTGGATGTCAAAATGTATATTATTATTTATTTATTATGACATTTTTTTAAAAGATAAAAAAAAATCTTCTTTTTTTCCTTCTTTGTCTAAAGTTCAGGTGCAAAGAAAATGAAATAAAAGAATATTAAATAACTTTTATTTGAAATCTGAGGATTTTATGCAGGTCCTTGAAAAGAAATAAATTGCAATAACTGTTCTGAGGTCGTAGTTAAATATTCAAGCATTAAAACTAATGGCGAGAAAAGAATGAGGTAGTTGTAGTTCTTTTCTTTTTCTAAAGAAAAAGTAACACATTTATGGGAATGTCACTAAAGCTACATCTGGTTGCATTATAGACAAACAAATCTCAAACCACACAACCAATGTCTGATTCAATTATCATTTTTATAGAATTGCCATTTTCATTGTTTTATTACTTCCTCATTCAAACCCAAACAGAGAATTACAAAGACAATAACAAATAGGGAATACATGAGCCACCATAATGCTGCACAAACAACAGCAGTATACCATTACATGAACGAACAGATCCAATCTAGTCGGCAACGCTAAAAACCTTGCACGCATTAGCTATATATATAAACACATACATTTTTAAGAAAACAAATTAATGAAAATAGAACAACCAGATATAAAGCTTGAATTATCATAACAAATAATATGAAGATCTAGATCTATAGCAGGATTCAAAATAACCAATTGTAAGACGCAGGCATTGTTTCAAGATCTGAATACTGGGAATGCTGAAAGAATCAATGGATGAAAAGTAAATTGTATGAGGTGAAAGTAAAAGAGATACATACCAATAATGCCTGGTGGTTTAAGAGAAGAAGAAGAAGAAAAAAGAAAGGGGAATGAGAAAGCAGAAAGGTGAATGAAGCAATGATGAAGGCAAAGCAAAGCTTTCAGAAGTTATATGTATTTATATATGGAGAGACACGAATGACTCGCTCACATTTATCTCCTACTTTTAACTCTCATTCTTTATATAGTATCTTTTTTTTTATAATCAATGGTGCAGTTTGAATCTTAAAAACGTTAACTGTCTAATTCTACAAATATTGATTTTATTCCCATGTCTGTGCTGATAATGGAAAGTGAAATTACTTGCATTGTGATGAATTATCTTCATTCTCATAATTTGTAGACCAGCCAATGGATTTGGTTCATTAATTTTTGAAATAAAAATTAAGAGAACGTAACACTGCATTAAGTTCAACTTGTTTACGGTAATTGATTCCGAATTGAAGTCCAAATGGACCATGAATAATGTCTCTGTATGAGAATTGGACAATTATATTCTCTTTAGAGTTAGCTTACCTGAGTCTAGTAAGATTTGATTAATTTCAGTTAGAAAAAAACATATTTTTAAAAATTTTTATACTTTAAATTAATGTATTATATTTTTCTATTTTACACTGATTAATTTTTGTCAATTTCTTTTATAAAATATATAGACTTAACGTAATCATTATTTCTTTAAAAATGTGATCATTTCTTAAATAAATTCGTGTATTTTAAAAAAAATTAAAAACCAAATTAGCTTTATAAAAATGTGGAAAAAATAAGTAATACTTAAAATTAAATTACAAATAACTAAAGTTGTCAAGAAAAACTAGAAACTAATGAAACATTTTTTCGAAAACAAACTTAATTAATAACAAATCCACATATTCATTAGTGGACATGCAGTAAATAATATATATATATATATATATATATATATATATATATATATAATAAAAACAACAAAGAAAATTAAATTACAAGTAACTAAAGTTATCAAATAAAACTAGCAACTAATGAAATACTCTCCGAAAACAAACTTAATTAATAACAAATCTACATAATATTTATTATATGACAATTCATAAACAATGAACACATTTTGAAACAAATATACACAATCCACATTACATGCTTTGCACATTAAATGCCTAACTTATATTTTGTCCTTTGCGGAATATTTTTAATTTTTTATAAATTTTACTTATGCTTCTCACTTTTTTTTCTATTTTTTATTTCAATTTCAATATATAAATACATACTACTTATTTTTTAAAATTTGAAAATAAGTTTAGCACAGACAAACAAACACCAGATAGTTTCTTCCTGCATTACCATAAATTTCTTTCTACACCCTTATAAATTCTTCTATAGATTATGTAATCTTTACATTCCAAATTATATAATTTAAAACGCATTTTTTATTTATATATTTTAAAATATATAATTCAAGATATAATTTTTAGTATTTTAAAATGTATTTCAGATTATACAATCTAAAATTTATTTTTGACTTTATATTTTAAAATTAATAATCTAAAATATAAAAAAAATTATTCTAAATTATATATTCTGAAATACAAAAACTTTATATTTTAAAATGCATAATCTAAAATATAAAAAAATTTATTCTAAATTATATATTTTGAAATACAAAAATTTAAGAAGTTAAATATTGAAATTATGAAAATACATGAAGAAATGGCCCAACACCAACTAACAAAATGTCACAAGAAGGTCCATCTCTTGCCCAAACATTAACTCGATAATTCCTCAAGAAAACCACTCCTATGCTTTTTCAACTTTATTTCTCCATACCCACTACTTTAGAGGGTGATGAAAATGAATAAGCCTGAGTCCATCAATGGAAGGTTGGGCCTTCTTTGAGTGATAAATAACTTTTTTAATTTAAAATATTAATCAATTTATTTTCATCTAAACTTCACATACATGATCGATGAAATTATCCACTTTTTTTTTTATTTTTAATATACGAAAAAATAGAGAGAAAAGACATCACTGTTTGAGACAAGATAAAGGGGGAAAGAGTTTAAAGGCAA